AAAGAAAAGGTGTGGCTTTGTATATCATTGCTTTCAAAAGCATTCTTGTGGAGCTCATCTTTGTTATGATATACACTGATATTTGATTGAACTAGACACTCTGTTGCAATTGCCTTTTTAGTAAAACAAAAGAAACAGGTGACAGAATAAAAGGAATTCAGGACTCAAATCCTAAAGTCAGTTTTATTCCTGATCCAACACACCAATTACACAGCCCTGAGAAAGACATACCCTTTCTAAGTTTCTGTTTGATCATTGTAAGATGAGTTACTAATATTTACCTTACAGGATTATTATGAAGATTAGAAATGATGGAGGCTTACTGAAAACAGGGGCCCAGTCAGTGCTGTTGTTGGTATCCCAGAATTCAGCACAAGAAAAGATGTAATACACATGTAAATGATACTGCTTATTATATATGGAAAACTATATACAGATATCAAAATTAATCTTTAATTTCCATCTGGATACTTTAGTGAGAACAACAGACAAATAAAAGTGTAGACTGTATTAACAACAGAGGATTGTTAAGACTATGGGAATGTTTACTCTGGTTGTGTGTGTAGATTTGTGTACATGAGGGCTTCTACGTAAATCTTAGGACAGAAAACGCACATAATGGTGATTAACAAAGCAAATGCCTTTGGAATGACAGCAAACTCCTTAAGGATGAGCCCTCTGCCAAGAAAACTCAAGTTTTGGGGGTGATCAGGAAATAAGAAGGGAAAATAAAATATGAGAATGTTGGCATACTGATTCCTTTAGTATAGAATAAGAATTATGGTCTCAGTATTAGAATGATGCCAAAGTTCCCAGAAACAGGAATTTGTTCCCTTAAGAGAGCCACGATTCCTGCCACAGTTCAAACACCCGGCACAGAATCTTACACCTGGAAGACAGCTTAGTGTTGCTGAAATGAAGAGCTTGAAAGTTCTTTTATTACTGAGCCATACTCTATAATTGTGTTCTATAAATGTTCTGCTTTGTATATGGCAGTCTCTCAAATATTTAAAGATAGCATTATGCCCTTATCAGGTTAAACATGCCCAGGATGTTTCATCATTGTGAAAATGGTGTAACTTCAGAGTTTCACACTCCAACACCTCTTGTACTTGCCTTGGATCCCACCTCACCCTCTTTCTTTACTATGTGTCTTCTGTAATGGCTGCAAAGCTAACAGACACAGAGAGAAGGATCCACACTAAAGAAAAGCACTCTGGACTACTGAAAGTTACCAGCACCAGGTGTGATGTTTAATGCCTATAATCTCAGTTATTTGGAGGCTGAGACAGGAGGATAGCAAGTTCAAGGCCAGCCATGGGATCTTAGTAAGACTCTGTCTCAAAATAAAAAAATAAAAATGACTGGGATGTAGCTTAGTGGTAGACTTCCTCTAAGTTCAATGCCTAATTAAAAAAAAAAAAACAAAAAAAACTAACTGCTGTAATCTGGTCAATTTGAAGAACTGCTTTAACATATAGCTTTTAACTAAAATATCTGGTTGTAGTTACATTAGAGTAACCCAAAGTCTCATTTGAAAGCAATACTGTCCACCAGGGAGGTTCACACAAAACAGAGCTACAAGAAAACAACAAAGATAACTTTACTGTAATGAGAAAACTGCCCCTATTAGATTGGTTGTTTTAAAAAACATTCCATGCATGTTTGTGTTCTTCCCACTCCATGTTCCATGAAACATTAATTCTATTGGCTGTTAATAGGAAGTATTCCATTTTCAAATAGATGATAACTTATTTGAAACTCTACGTTTATACTTTTTGAATAATTTCTCCACTGAAGGTTTTCTTCACATCTTCAATATGCTCCTGTGTATTCTGTATATTGCAGAGGGAGACAGATCACACAGGGTTTGGCCATAAAAAATGACACATTGTTGAAGTATTTTCTGGGTGAAGCATTGCATAGAACACATTTTGAAAAATGCTACATTCTATAAACACTTATAAGGCTGCACATTAGGGGAGGCTTGCTGCCTGGTGATCAGGTGCCCTGCAATGCCTTCAGCTGTGAGCACATGAGGGTTACTAGGGGCAGGCAGGCACTCATGGGCAGAGATCCAGCTTTGACCAGTGAGACCCCAGCTGACTCCATCAGCTTTCTGAGATTCTTCTCTAAGTTTTCCTAATTAGAAGTCCCAAAGTAACATGAAACTCTCTTCAAGATTCCTTTTTGATAAGGTAAACATCCTTCTGGATTCAAATCATCAAGTATGTACTCAAGTGGAAATTTTGCAGGAACTAACTTGATGGTACTAAATTACAGTAGGTCCATGCTTGGGCTGGTCTTAGTCCTAAGAGGCTACCACAAATCAGGGAAAGTAAGCAGGTGACAAATGACAGACTGGAGGTGTCCAGACACCATCTGGGGGCTTGTCATCAAATTTCTCTTTCTGTGACATGGCATCCCATTTCCTCTGCTTCTTTTCTTCTTTAGAGTTTGCTTTGTGTGGTTCCTTTGACTAGATGTCATTGGTTTAGAATTTTGGTTTAGAACCAGCACAGAAGAACAACAACCCTACTATTATTTACAAGATTATTATTATACATCAGACATAATATGTACCAAGTATCTAGTTTTTATGTGGCAGATGAACATGACTGCATTTAAACTTGGAAGACAATCCTGTCAAGTCCGCTTTCTCTGTACAAAGGCTCAGTAGGTAGAGAAACAGAGCAGGGAGTGAAAAGACATTGATGGCCGATGCCAAAGCCTAGGCTCAATTGCTATACTGCCTTAACTTCTAGGGGAGAGTCTGATATTCCTTTTCTTTGGAATATTTTAGAAAGAATTCAGACCATACAAACACAACCAGTAAGCACCTATACAAACCCATACTTCAACAGAACTATTATAAAGGGGTGAGTGGAATCTGTCTTAAATCAAACAATACACTTGCCTTATTCTACTAAAACACAAATCTTTAAATAATTATGCCAAAACCACAAAAATTTAATGATGGTCAGAAACTTAAGAGACCAAGGTGGCTACAATGACAGCAATAGTAATAAGCAGAACCAAGATGCAAAACGCCCTTCAATAAAAACTTTGTGGGAGATTCAAGGGTTGGGGGCACAGAAGAATGAAAGTTTGATGGCAAAGACAGAGAACAGCAATGCTTTAACAGGCAAGTGGCTTTCCAAAAGTTTTTCATGTCCAGCAGGTTGTTGGAATTGTAGTTTCTTTTATAAAGTCTTACTTGCAAATAGACTTGATTACTTTTAGACACATCATACTTCTTTCTGCATGAAAAGAAGATTTAAAACCTTGAGAAAGTAAGTGACACAGACATAATGAAGAATGAAATTATGTCATTTGCTGGTAAACGGATGAAACATTGAGCTAAGTGAAATAAGTCTGATTTAGAAAGTCAAGGATTGAATGTTTTCTCTTATGTGAAACTTAAGGACGGGGGAGATGGGGGAGAGAATGAATTCTAAATCTACCAAACAATGCTGTGTCCATGTACGAATATACCACAATGAATACTGCTTGTATAATTATAATGCACTATAATTAAAATAATAATTATAGAAGGAAGATCAGTAGAGCAGAGTAATAGGGTTAGAGAAGGGAAGAGGGAGGGAAAGGGTAGATACTGGGGAATGGGATTGATCAAATTATGTTATGTGCATGTATGATATGATATAATGAACCCCACTATTATGCATAATTATAATGTACCAATAAAATTTTTAAAAAAGAAAGTCTATGAGGTAATAACATTTGCATTAATTTGGGGGCATTACTTACAGCAAGGGAGATGGGAAAAAGTACAGAAAAGAGAATTAAGAAAGGGCAATGCGGTCATTTTCTGGTTTCTCCTCAATAAGCCTTATAATTTTAACTCAAACAAATCCAGAGACCATTCATTACATACTTCTGCATTCAAAAGTAAATACAAGTAAAAGGCATCCAAATGATTTCCTAGTTATCTTCAGTTTAGGATCTTCTAAATTTCTCCTATTAATAAAAATAATCAAGTGGAGACCATAACAGTTTTCTCAAAACAATAAACATCACTGAAAAAAAATTTAAAAGGAAAGAAAACCCCTGTATTTTGGAGTGAAATACTATCTGATATACAAAATAAATAATAATTGTTCCATTATAAGCTCCTTTTTTAAAAACCAGAGTTCATCACAGAAGCATGAGTTTAAAAAATTAATCATCATGCCATGAATTGTACTGCCATAAAAACAAACCATTCTTTTCTGCTTATAAACAAGAACAAAACTTCCACATATGCAGATGCATGCCTTAATACCTCAGTGCAATGGTGTATTTACTTGTATAAATATTTAAAGTCAGACCTTTGAATTTATAATGAAGTAGTACACCCTTTACAAAATAAGGTGCTAGTAAATTTAGATGTATAATAAATAGAACTCTGTTTAGAATACTAATTGCTGTTGTTGATATTCTAAACCTAAAAACAGTAATTATATCATTCAGATTCCCTCTAAACACACCTAATACTTGTGCGGAAATCTTAATAGGTCTTGATGAAGGCTGACTGGTAAAATTTTTGAAATACCAGGTAGGATGTGTAATGAGGCACCAGAAAATTTCCTGTCTGGAACTTTTTTCCCCTGTTCTTATTTTATGGATACACCTGTAATTATTACAGGAAAGAGTAAAATCAGAAACATCTGTACTTCATCATGCAATAACTGGGTGTTCCTCTGGGGACTGACCATTCTCATACAGATGCAGGTGCTAAAAGGCTGCATGATGGAGGATGCTCACATGTGTAAATGTATAACAACATCATGATGAAGAGTTCAATAGACATGGTCTTCTGCCACCTTAGTCTAGGATAATGTAAGTTTGTATGTTATGATCTTATAATTAATGCTCCAGCATACTGTAGTTGAATATACTTGCTCCTAGCAGGGTTCACAAACCACTAATTATAATGTTCTGGTTATGTAAAAAGACTACAGACTATGTTTGAAACTGTCAGGCAACCATAATTTTACCTGTGATTGGGACCTTTGCAGCCAGGCTTTCTTCTTTACTTTCATCTTTGCTGCCACTTGAAGCTTCTAAAAGTTGAATACATGATCATAAAAATGTATTTCAAAGTGATGGAACAGGGTTTTGTTTCCTCTATCCCTCCCTCCCTCCCTCCCTCCCTATTTTTGTTGTGCTAGTGATGGAACAGAGAGCTTTGCACATGCTAGGCAAGTGCTTTACTACTAAGTTATCCTCCTAGCTCCACTTTGGGCTTTTAACTGCCATTCATTTTATTTTCACTGTCTCTTCATTCCTATTTTTGGTTAGTTTATTTCTTGTCTGAAATAGCACTGCTTCTAAGAGGAAACTTATACTAAGGTGTCTCCATGTTGATGTCATGAAAAATAATTTAGCTTTGACATCTATCAAATTTGGAAGGGACTTAAAACAAATGAGCCTCAAATCCTCTGCATGTAAATTGGCTTATGGATATTTTTTAAGCAACTCATAGCTATCTTGGAAATACCATTAAAGTGGTTTACTGGCAGGTCTTACTAGTAATGCCAAAATAACCACAGTTTCTAGGTACTAACAATTGATTATTAAAATTTGGAGCATAAATTCACTGATTCCTAATTATCTGTGTAGACTCTGGTAAGGTTCTATTACAATTTAAAAGCATGTTTAAAATTAAGTGGCATCAAAAACTTCATAGTACTTCACAGAATCATTTTAATGAAATCATCCTCATCTTTATGGGATCAAAATTATCCGCTGCCAATTGATTAGATTTGCTAAGATTTCATAACTTATAAATTCTTACTCCATTAGAAATTCTGCAGAGCTACAGACCTACAATTAAGTTTTCCAATCCTGTTGGACTAAATGAGAATGTATCTATCTATTGCAAGGTGAAATAAAACAAAGAACATTTTGCATCTTAAAATCAGAGATAGCTTCTAGTCATGGTATTTTATAGGTATACCTTAAGAAGGATGATGTTGCATTCACTCTGAATGCCTTTTTGCTGTGGATAGACTAACAATAATTACCTTGTTCCCTTGTACAAACACTGTTGAGCCACAGAGCCGGTTTTGCTTCCTTTATTCCACTATTGTCATTCAGAATAGATGGCAAGCTGCAAGATGATTCATTACTATGAATAGCTGACCTATCACCACACTCTTCTGTAAGGGCTTTTTTCAATAATGCTGTTGCCTACAGTGTTTCAAAGAAAGCACAAAGAAATCAAAACAAATTGTAACCACATTCTCCTTGGTCTCAAAGACCCAGCCTTCAAATTTAATTTTAGGTTAAGTCTTACTTAGGATTTAATTTGCTTCCTAACATTAACTGAAATTAAAATGTCCTCAAGATAAAATAACATCTGGTTATTTTTCCAGCATAACTTAATTCTTCACAACCATTTACACTTATAATAATATATTTTCTGAGGAATGAATCTTATGTAGTGCAGAAATGTTCTTCTACTTGTGAATTATGTGTATAAGATGTGATCACTTCTGTTAATCTGGGCTGTTTTATCCTTCCTTCAATATATATAAAAGTCAGAGTGGCTGACCTCCTTTCTGAAGAAAAGATTTACACTTTCATTGCACAAATCCTAGTTTCCAGGCATGTAACACAGAGGTGGTCTGGATTGAGAAAGACATCTGGAAAAAAACATGACCATGAAGTATCCCCAATCTCCTAGAGGTGACTCCTGAACTCCCTCCAAATGAGAAGATGGCAGAAAAACTTTGTGGCCAAGGAAGATACACTGAGCAAAAAGATAACTGACCTGATTCTAAATCCTAATCTTCAATCAAGGTTAAAGAAAATCTGCACTTTGCCTTTAAGTCTGCTGGTGAGATGGGAAAACTTACCTGCCATACTGCCTATCTTTTTTCAAAGTGCACTAGACTGTCTTTCTTAAGTAGGGGGACACAGATTTTATCATAGCCAACTTGAGAGATGAAAAAGTGGCAATAAACAGGAGCAAGGTTAGAACCCATATATTTTAATTTTTCAGTCAGCACTTTTCCCCAAAGACATAAAAATATGCTGGTAAGAGAGTTAAATGTTTAGTACACAACCATTGATCACATCCTATTAAAAAACGACAATTTGCTAAGGTAGTTGAAGAAAAAACTTAGGTGGTAGTGGTGGTCACCTTTCACTGCTATCTGATAATGACAGAAATACAGGGCAGTGTCCAACTCAACATGTGAGGAGTGGACACAAGACTTCATAATATGAATAAAATAACTGGCCAAAACCTCACAGGTCATCTTTAGTCCATGACTGTATAAGTAGTACAATTACTCAGCAAACAATGAGGAAAAGAATAATCTATGCTTGTAATTAACACAGAAGAAGACAGAGATGCTCTGGCAGGGAGAATCAATGAAGCAGAGCATGGGAGAACTAGCCTTGCTCATTTAGCTCTAAAGATATTTCAAACCACTGTCTTTAGTCCTGACATCCCTGCAAGGATATTGCCTTCTGCCTTCCTAGAACTGACTGGTTTCTTGGACTCAGGGAAGGAACAGCTGATTTGGGAGATAGGGATAAGGGATTCTAGTCATTGGTCAAAGGACTTGGGGTCAAGTTAGCCCTGAAGGCAGGACCTTGCTGCAGTCTAGTTCTAGCGACCAGAGGCTTTTGCTCTGTTTGTGTAAACTAGTTCCTGGGTTTTATTCTAATTGAGATAAATCTCTGTTGGAGTGGTCTGCTCAGTATTCTCATTTCTGAAGACTGGGAGACTGGGCCTTTAAAGCTCAGGCCAAAGCTGGTTCCCATCACTAGCTGTCATACTGCCTCTATCCTAGCAGCATATGTGGAACTCTTCAACTTACCTGCTTCCAAAATCTGCCCAGAAAGAAAAAGGGAAAGAGTAGATATTGCCTGTTTGAACTGCCATCACTCAACTATGAATGTGCCCTCTGGACTGTCCTGAGGGTCTCCATCCATCCTGATCTAGTTGGTGCCTAGTAATCCTAAGCATATGAAAAGCATTTAAAAATATGAACAAAAACAACTGGGCTGAATCCTGTAGCAAAAGCTATAATTTTCATTTGCTGAGGTTTAAAAAAGTTGATTCTCAGAGGCTTCAAATCTGTACTTCTAAATTATATTACTTTATGTAATAGCTATAATTAATAATTTATTGATGTGACTTCTTAATAATAATTTTTTTTAAACAAATTAGAGTACTGAACCCAGAGGCACTTTACCACAGAGCTACATCACCCCTGCCCCACTGAGCCACCCCACCCGCCCTGTTTTTTGGAGATAGGACCTCACTAAATTAGGATCTCTCGCCTTTTGAACTTGTGATCCTCTTGTCTCAGTTTCTTGAGTAGCTGGGATTATAGGTGTGTGCTACCATGCCTGGCAATAATCACTGTCTTAGCACACATTTTAAGAATAAAATTGTTAAAGGTCTTTTGAAGTTTTTAAAACTTTTTTCCTGTAGAATTTGTAATGCAAAGATTTATAGTTCTTTTTTTCTCTCCCCAGTATTGAGATTGGACCCAGGGACTTCACCACTGAGCTATATCTCCAAACCCCTTTTTGTTGTTGTTGTTGTTGGACTTTTTTGGTACTGGGGAATTAAACCCAGGGGTGCTTAAGCACTGAACCACATCCCCAGCTCTTTTTATTTTTTGAGACAGGGAAGTTGCTTAGGGCCTTGCTAATTTGCTGAGGCTGGCTTCAAACTCATGATCCTCCTGCCTCGGCCTCCTAAATTGCTGGGATTACAGGCATAGTCCATCATGTCTGGCTTTCCTTTTTGTTTTTTTCTTTTGATGGGATCTCATTAAATCTCTGAGGCTGGCCTCAAAATTTACAATTCTACTGTCTCAGCCTTCCAAGTAGCTGAGATTATAGGCATGCACCACTGGGCCTGGCCCAGATTCAGACATTTTAAAGTAATTTAAAATAAAACAACTTTATCATTGCTCTCCTCCCCTAAATCCTGAAACTGTTTTGGATTATAAATGACTCAGATTATTTCTCTCTAGTCCCCAAGCAAGGTATCAGAATCAAAAGGAGACATGTCAAATTAACAAAATGGAACCAGAAAGGCCATAKAAGAAAAGTCCTTTATATATATGCTTATGACAGAATCTATGCAAGGAATTCCTCAAAACTGCAGTATTCCACTCCACACAAGCCAGCTGCAATATTCCTGTTTAAACAAGGACATTTGCCTAACAATAGCTGTCTCCACTGGGGCATGAACACTAACTTCTGCAACAAGCTCCTATAATCAAGGTCTTTGTTTTAAGATAGTTATGTGGACTTCTCCATTTCTAGCACTTCTCTTTTAAAGSTGCCCCTTTGTCTAACCACTTTGGATGCACCTATGGTCCACCACAGCATGTGTATCCAGGATTGCATGTATCTATAATCACAAATAAACTCTGCTTCAGAGAGCTGGTATCTGTTAAGCATTTTAGACTGACACTCCTAATGCTACAAATTGATCTCTCTGTTTCATGTGTCTGTTTCATATAGACCCTTTTCTTGTTTGAGATGGATTTGAACTGGGCTTCAAAAGAATACAGAATAAAATGCTGTAATATCTTTCTAATATGTCCCCATATGTTTGATAAGAATAACAATACTACCAACTAGTTCTGTGCTGAGATCTCTTCTCCATGGTGAGATCTCTACTCGATGGTGAAGTAAGTAATGTGGTGGGCATACCACTCCAAATTTAACACATTAAACCCATATTTTGAATTCTATGAATATTTCAATAAAATTAACACTTAAAATATGTTGAAAATCATAATCTAAAGTTTACATATCCTTATATATCCTACAAAATTTTCATATATATATATATATATGAAATATACATATATTTTCAAATGCTTGAAAAACCATCTATTTATTACTTTTCTCAAAAGAATACAACTCTAAAAGCATAACATTATTTCAAAATTACCATATGTGGTATATTGATTGACCAATTTAAGTTTTTACAGGTTTTGCTCATCTGGGATGATAAGATTTAATGGGTTAATTGATTTTATATATTTTATCCCATTTATGTTCACCAATCAATATTCATTTCCAGAATTTTTTTTGACAGAAACATTTATAAAAGAAAGCACTCATCTCAGGCTGAGGTTGTAGCTCTGTGATAGAGTACTTGCCAAGCACATGTGAGGCATTGGGTTCAATCCTCAGCATCACATAAAAATAAATAACTAAGATAAAGGTATTGTGTCCATCTACAACTAAAAAAAAATTAAAAAGCAATCATCTTTTAGAATACTTCTGTAGGCAATTTCTCAAAAATGAGTAATTTATATCCATAAAGATTTTGGCGGATGGTAAAATTGCAACATAAGAAAGAATGATTTGACTCTACTAGACCATGGAACCAAAAGAGAGAGCTGTGGATCTGCCTAATTGGTCATCTGTAAAGGAATCCACAAGTTCCTAACAAGCAGGAAATAATGATAAGGGGATACAGAAACAAAAGTCAGTCTTAGGCAAGGAGAGGTTATAAGTATTCTAGTCAAAGACAACTTCTTCAGAGTCAGGGAAAACATCTGTAAAAAATTCTCAACACATAATGCTTGCAGATGTCCCCAAAATAGGTACTTGTGGGGAAGCCCCAATTTGAAAGAGCTTATCTAAGAATGAGGAAACAGGGACAAAGGCCCAGAGAAGGGTTAGCAAGCTGTTTTACATATCTCACACTGGGACTGAATGAGTTTTGCAAATTAGAGTTCCCTCTCAAAAAAATACTGCCAGATAATCTACCATGGTCCTTCTGATAGGGCTTATGAATGGCCTATGCAAAGCTTTTAACTTGTCTACTACTAATAAAGGCTGTCTTTGAATTACATATTTTTGGAGCCCAGGAAGGGAAACTGAAGAGTATCTCACTGTTCTCAGTAGTCTGAAGCCTAGGTAAATACCAACAAATAAGTCCCTCACCTTTCTGCCTTTCCAGGAGCAGGAGACAAGACTTGGAAATCAAGCACCAGGGCATCTATGAGTGACTGATGCTGATACCTCTGTATTTCAGATCTTACAGCAGTTAAGTCACTCTATGAACTATACTTAGTAGTTTATTTCTAGAATTATAAACCCAATTCTATTAGAACTTTCCTCAAAGTTCAGTTTAAATATGGATCTTATGATGTTTAGAACCACAAGGATCATCTAGGCTGACTTAAGTTACACCAAGAAACAATTTACCAATTTATATATTCAAATGCATACATAGCTATTAATGGAAAGGACATTGTGTTCTGACACCATTAAGAAAAAGGAAAGGCTGCTAAAAATATTTAAACAAAATGYACAAATTTATATTTTAAAAGTTCTCATAAATCAGTAAGAAAAAGTATTACTTATCTAATGTACAAATGAGCCAAGAACATGAACTGGCAAATTATAAAAAAGGTACAAATGGCTAACAATTGGGTAGGAAAAAGTTTGACCTCAATTGGAATAAAAAGGTCAAATGAACAACAACAAAAAAGGGATATCATTTTTACTTCTCAAATTGGTTCCAAAAAATTGATAATATTTGTTTTATAAAGAAATCAGAGAAATGATATTTTCATTTATTATGGCTAATTCCTATGACCCTTCCAGAATGAGATCTAGCAATGAATAGCAAAAGCCTGAAAGATGTACATATTTTTTGACCTAACAATCTATACCTAGGAATTCATTTTAGGGAGATATCATAGATACTTGAAGAAACCAAATTGTACAGATGTTCTCTGAAGCTTTCTTACGGGATGAAATATTAGAATAAATTTATTTGTTCAACAACAGGTAACTAGTTAAAGAGAAAATGACAAGGAATCTGTGTAAACTCATTTGAAGTGAGGTAGAAGAACATGTATGAAAGAAAATTCTTTTGAGGCAAGTGGAGAAAAAAAGGAGGTTATGTGTATAAAAAATGGAACGCATGTTTGTCAATAATATTAAATGTTAACCTCAATGCCAACAGTTATATATGAATTATATTTGTTTATCTTGGTATTTCAAAGTTTTCTTGCTTCCTCCTTGATTTTTAAAGAAAACACATGATAGCTCTAAAGGAATCTGATTTCTGTAAGGGTGGTACAAATACAAACTGAATATGAAAGGAGCTGATAAAATTAAATTCCCTTCTACATATAAACCAGTTCTACTAACACAGTTGCAAAAAAGCAAGGGAATTAAAAACCATGGCTATAGATGGTAGATGACATTTTCCCCTACTACACAGATTTAATTGACTTTTCCTCAAGAAACTTCTTTCTGGACACCAGAAGTAATTTTTTAGTGTTTAAAAGGAAAACAGCACCATCACTTAAATTATACTTAAGTGAAAGGAGAGGAAGATATTTTGTGCATTTAACAATTAAAAGAAAGAGGAAATATTCATATGAGTCTGCAAATGAGTATTTAGGAAATAAGAACAAGAAAACAGCCCATCATTTAGGGACTGAATCTTACTGGTGAATACAATTAGCATGTGTATGATGGGGGACATGACTTATTCTGAGTTGCTCTGCCTTGTTGAAGTTCTCCCGATTGGAAATAAGTATCACTTAGGAAAAAAAAAGGACTTTTAAGTCAATTTGTATTTTTTTTTTTTTTGAGAAGGGTACCAGGAATTGAACTCAGGGGCACTGGACCACTGAGCCACATCCCAATCCTCTTTTGTATTTTATTTAGAGACAGAGTCTCACTGAGTTGCTTAGGGCCTTCCTGTTGCTGAGGCTGGCTTTGAACTAGTGATCCTCCTGTCTTAGCTGCTGCAAGTGCCACTGCACCAACCCAATTTGTATTTTAATGAAGCATCCAACTCACATTTTTTTCCAGATAAAGTAATTACAAATATTTCTGAATTAAAAGCATGCAGCTCAATTATGTAATTGCTCAATGGTTATATGGGCACTGCTGGATCTTATCTGGTCTCAAGAGGATATAATCTGAGTTTCTGTGGCTTTGATGATGTATTTACTCAAGAGAAGGGATTGACTGGAGCTGACAGCACAGGGACCCACAGGTAAACATGATTTTCATGTGGCTGTTTAATTAGCCATTTACCCAAGAGATCAAAGTAAATATTTTAATCTTTACCAGACTCTGAACCAAGTAATTTCTAATAAAGCTTTCTTAAATTTTGAAAATGACTTACTTTTAAGATTTTATCCAGAGAGAGATATTTAACCCATAGTATTTACTAAATTTATATATTACTTCAATACACAAAACAATTAAAAGATACTGTATTTGGCTAATCATTAAAGGATGGTGTRGTCTGGGGACAAAGCTCAGTGGTAGAACTCTTGCTAGAGTAGGGACTACAGAAATCATTTCATAGCACTGTCCAAACACCTCCACTAGCTCTCTAAAACCTACTAACTGAACAAAGTCTCTCTAGCTTGGGACTAGAGTAGTGCACAATATGGCCAGGGATTGAAATCAGGGGCACTTGGCCACTGAGCCACATCCCCAGCCCTATTTTATATTTTATTTAGAGACAGGGTCTCACTGAGTTGTTTAGTGCCTCACTTTTGCTGAGTCTGGCTTTGAACTTGTAATTCTCCTCCCAAGCCACTGGGATTATAGGCATGTGCCACCATGCCTGGCTGGTCCACAATTTTGATTAAGAAAACAGGTTACTTACCTCTTCTTTCAGAGGATTATGTTCTTTCAAGGTGGTAATACACTGACCCAAATGTGCCCCCAGTAAGTCTGGGACTTGTTTAGATCTGTAAAACAAAACAGAAGACACACCACAGATTTACAGCATAATATTCCCACATTTTAAAAGGCAAGTTAGTAGGAGAAAGTTTATCCAGAAAAGTCTGGAACCAAACATATTCTGAACTAAAGAAACTTTGAGCTTTAAGTCCAAATATTTTTTTTAATTTTAAAGTTTTTGGTTATGATTTCATTGCTTAATGAGCATTCTCAACTTTGGCTGCACAGAGAACCACCTGGGAAGCTTTGTAAAATCTGGTACCTAATATCTTACAGAGTATAATGGAATTGGGCTATGGTATGGCCTAACTCATGAAGTGATTCCAAAGTGTAGCCATGAACTTTGGAAGTCCCTCCAATTAAAGGTAAGTAGAAAGACTTTTTTTTAAAAAAAAAGTATTTCAATCATTCCTGTAACTAGTGTAGGAAGTACTGTGTGAATGGTTAATTTCCTAAACGTTCTTAAGAGAAACAGATCACATTTGTTTCACTTTTACCATGTTCTGCTTATAATTTAAGAAAAAATTAAGATACTATTATCAGAAAGTTAAAAAGTAAGTCTGACAGGAGTGAGATGAAATCTTAGAGTAGTTTTGATTTGCATTTCTCTAATTGCTAGAGATGTTGAACACTTTTCATATATTTGTTGATCAATTGTATTTCTTCTTCTGTGAAGTATCTGTTCAGTTCCTTAGCCTCGAATCATCAAGAATACAGGCAACACAGGCTGGGGCTGTAGCTCAGTGGTAGAGTGCCTGCCTCACACATGTGAGGCACTGGGTTCAATCCTCAGCACCACATAAAAATAAAGATATTGTGTCCACCTACAACTAAAAGAAAATATTAAAAAAAAAGAATCTAGGCAACAATAAATGTTGGCGAGGATGTGGTGAAAAAGGCACACTCATACATTGCTGGTGGGACTCAAATTGGTGCAACCACTATGGAAAGCAGTATGGAGATTCCTCAGGATACTGGTAATGGAACCATCATTTGACCCAGCTATCCCATTCCTTGGTCTATACCCAAAGGACTTAAAATCAGCATACTATAGTGACACAGCCACATCAATGTTTATAGCAGCTCAATTCACAATAGCTAAACTATGGAACCAACCTAGGTGTCCCTTAACGGTTGAAAGGATAGAGAAAATGTGGTATATACACTCAATGGAATATTACTCAGCTTTAAAGAAGAGTAAATTTATGTTATCTGACAGTAAATGGTTGGAGTTGGAGAATGTCATGCTAAGTCAAATAAGCCAATCCCACAAAACCAAAGGCTGAATGTTTTCTCTAATATGCAAACACTAAGTCACAATAAGGCCCTGGAGGTGGAAGGGTGGGCACTAGGGAAGAATAATGTTACCATAGATTAGGTAGAGGGAAGTGATGGGAGGGAAAGGGAGGGGATGTGAGGATAGGAAAGATATAGAATGGAATAGACATTATTATTATATGCATATATGTAACTGTATGACCAATATGATTCTGCAACATGTACACTCAGAAAAATGAGAAATTATATTTCATCTATGTATCAAAGTGCATAAATGCATTCTGTCACATATAGCTAATTAAAACAAATAAAAAAATTTAAAAAGTAAGTCTATACTGCTGTGTAGACAGTGATATTATTAAACTAAAAGCAACCCAAAGAAATGTCTCATTATATGGTTGCAGAAAATGTACAAGATGAATCTGGAGCATCCTGCTGTACCAGAAAATAAGGAAGCTCTTAAAGATAGGGTTATGACTGAGTCATGTCAAAAGGACTTAAGGGCTATCATCTTGAAGGGGCTCCCATTGGTCAAAGATGGGACAATCTGAGCCACAAAAAGAATAACAAATGTAATGGACTGAAACACAGCATAACAATCTGTGAATTCATTTAAAAGTAAATAATAAAAATAAATAAAACTTTAAAAAATAATAAAAGCCTTGGGAGTCAGTCCTAAAAAGGGAGAAAACCTCATCCAATATAATGATATACATGAATCCTGAGGACACTATGCTTTCTGAAATAAACCAGACACAAAAAAGACAAACACTGTATGATTCCACATATGAGATGACTAAGAAAATTATATAACAATACACTTTTATACTGGTGGCGTCAATCTGCCAATGCAGTCTCAGCATCACTAACAATGGGATGATAAGATGTCATATGCTGCCTGAGGAGATGGAATGAGAAGTATCAGTGCCATCTATAACATCCTTTTGCTTAGTCTGAAACACAATCACATATCCAGATCTCTAACAGTTTAGAGGTAATAGAGGGAGAGAGGAACTGGTTAAAGAATACTATAAAAATATAACCAGCCAAATCCAGCATGTGAATTCTCCAGGACAAATGACCCCACTCTTTTAACAAACTGATGGTATAAAAAAGCAGAAGGAGAGCCTGTTACAAAATTTTAAATAAGAGATTTTAAGAGACCTACCAACCAATTGTAACAGGGGGACCTTATTTGAACCCTGATTCAAACAAAACAAATGTAAAAAAACATGGACTAGGCATTAAGTAAACTAACTGAAATCTAATTAGGTAATTAAATTAATATCCAGTCATTGGATAACTAAAGAATTTTGTATTAGATCCTTATATGTTAGTGATGCAAGTATTTGTAAGTGAAATGATATGTTGTTTGTTTTAAACTACTCAAGAGAAGTATGCAGGTAAAGGAGAGATATAAAACAAGACTGGCAAAATGTGGACAGTTGATGGAGCTAAGTGACAGGTATGTGGAGCTTCAAATGTTTAAAAATTTTCAAATACAAAGTTTTAAAAAAGGGTACTGATATTTGACACTTACTCTGAAATACACAGGTATAAGAGACTGATAAATGAACAGAATAATGGATAGAAAAATATGAGGGTGCATTAAAACATCAATGGCAGAATCTGAGTGGTAGATGTTCACTTTTCAGTATGATTGCAATTTTTTATAGTAAAATGTTTAGAAGATGTGTGGACAAGGAGATGTTTTAAGCTGCTTCCTTGTCATTTGGTATCATTGCCTTCTGCTCTTCATGGGTACAGTGTCCTCATGAATCCTTTGTCCTCTAATGGGGACAGTTATGGGCTTCCTGTCCCCATTAGGGCCATGCTGGGGCTCTGCCTTGATCAAGATTAAAGTCCCAGTCTCATACTTGCTCTGAAAACCAAGGGTCAGAGCCCTTTTCTCTTATTATTTTACTATTATAATTAATATCAGTTTTCTTGTAATAGAAATAAAGTTTGAACTTGGAGCTCAAAAAAAAAATGTTTGGAAGGAGCTAGAGATGTCACTCAAGAGTACAGCATTTATGTAGCATGTGTAAGGCCCTGGGTTTGATCTTAAGCACCAATAAAAATAAATTTTAAAAAGTAACCAATTAAATTAGAAAAAAGTAAGGATAGGTCAATTCAAAATTTCATTGAATATATTATATTAAAACATTTGCCTAACCCGACCTTAGTTTTTACTAAGGCTTGAATAAAGTGGGATAAATCAATGGGATCCTGTAACTTATGGAAAAGCTTCCAAGGATGATTCTAAGGCTTCTGACTCATTTAATAGAAAGCCCCCTTCAGCAACTTGCCTTTGCTGGTTCCTACTATACCTCAATGATGTTAAAAAAATTAACATTCAATTCCTTTGTTCTGACTCCATGTCATAGGTGAAGAAACCTTTACATTTATATTTAGTTTTTCACTAGATTTTCCTATTGAGAAAATGCCCTGACTAGCCTCTAGCAAATTCTAGTCTATTCAACAATTATATTTCCCATAAGTCAATTGTGTTTTTGAAAGCAAGTTTAATTAGGATGAATTAAATAATGAGAGAGAGTCTTTCTGGTGATGCATACATGTGGTTTTCTGCAGAAACAAAGCCAAGGTGAGGTTATACTTACTATCACTCCAGCCAACTGCAACTGCCCTTTGGATAGCAGTGTGCAAGAACTAGCTAAGGTTTCCATTTATTGTATTTATTTCCCACAAAAGGGCTAAACCAATTAACTTATTTGCTCATGGTCAAATAGCAAATGAACTGTTAAAGGATGTACAACAGTCTAGGATTTGTGACTTCTGCGCAGCTGAGCCAATCCATAAAACCCCAAACCAAGCTTTCCTRCAGATTTACTTTAATACATATTAGGCAAGAAGTGTAAGAATCATGGCTATCCTTRAATGAAGTCTTGCTTATGTCTCTACATAAACACACCAAATCAGGAACTGATATGTGGGTATGATGAATTTAAAGAATTTTTTTCTCTTGAATTTTACAATCGGAAAATGTGTAACATTGATGCCTCACTGAAAAGCAAAACAAAACGACAACAACAACAACAAAAACCAAAAAAATGCCAAAAACATGCAAAATAAAAAAAGCTTGAGCTGAGGCTGTGGCTCAGCGGTAACACACTTGCCTGGCATTGTGAGGCACTGGGCTCAATTCTCAGCCCTGCATAAAAATAAATAAAATAAAGATCAATCAACAACCAAAAAAAATTTTTAAGAGGGAAGATGGCGGCAAATGTAGTGCATCACCCCCGTGTACCACGTCATTGCACGGGTGAATGACGAGTTAGAACGGCCAAAAGCTATCTTGTTAGGAATTTTCAGCAAAATTGGGGTGCACCGAAACCTAGAGGAAGGATTTCCATCGCCCGAGGATTGGTTACTGGGGCTCAACCGCGAGTAAACTGTCCGCCCAGAGATACAAACTGTTTATTCAGCGGCCCGCCCCGCTGCTAGAGACTGCGGTGYGCTGGGAAACGGCGAGCTAGCAACGCAGAGAAACGGTGCTGTAGATTCTGTGGACTCCTGCTGGCTGTGCCCTCACTGTGCTCAGGGCTGAGTTCTGGGTTTGAGACGGGAGAAGGAAGCGGTCCAGTTCTGTCCTCCACACCGGTCAGCCCACCGAGGAAGCCAGTGGCCACCATCTTGGAGAGCTGACATCACCATCGCCAGTTTTCGACAGATTGCAGCTCATTCAGCGATAGAACAGGTGTGTGTCACT